ACTGAAATTTTCAATTTTTCTGAAAAATTTTTTTTGAAGTGTCGATAAAAATTTTTTGGCCCAATCAAAATACTTGRMAATTTAATACAAAGTTCCCCATAAGTTATTCTTATAGTGATTAAAAAATTATAAGAATACATAGGCACAATTTTTTTTTATAAGCGTTTATAGTTCAAATTTTTACGAAATCTGTAGAAAATGCGAAAATTTGCAATTAATTATGAAGCTGAAAAATCATAAAAATTTTTGTGTTTATGACTAAGGATTAAGAATACAACACTAAGTTTTCCATAAGTTTTCCTTCAATTAGCTATAGAGAAATCTCGATACCTATCATTGCATTCAAATTTAATCCCATCCATTACAGTAACCTACAGTACAGCARAGCGASATCCACGACTTACCCGCTTTTTTTTTTTATTGCTTTTTTATATTAAAAGTATTATTGGTGTTGAGATAGTGCATCACGATTCACGGGGACTTGTCACTTAGTTAGAAATATTACGCGCTATTTGCATTGTTTTGTTAAAAAAGTTGACCGTGATATTCTGTATACACGTTTTAATTATTAAAAGTTTGAAGTCTGTGTGAAGGGCTTTGTTTTTGACGAACCAAGGAGCATTGGATATTTTTCGTTTTTTCGTAGTATTTTTTATTAAAAGACTTGAATTTTATTTATATGGATTTTGGCACAGTTTCCCCAGATAGGGGATTATATATAGGTAATACCAATATTATAATGTACTATAGGTAAGTATATAAATATTCTTATACTCGCATTATTTAAACAGGGAAATATTATATCATAGTAGGTATTATACCTATAATAAGCTACACCTATTATTTATTAAAAATAGCGTATAGTGACCGATCACCTATATCAACTATATTATTCGTACAACTATTCGTTCAATAATATGATGCGAAGAGAGTATAATTAATAACTATATATTTATATTACAATAGTCAATAGTGTTATACTTCATAGTTTATATTATAGGTCAGATATCTGTACAGTGATGTGCTAAATTTTATTGACGTTCCTATTAAATTTATTTAGGTATTTGCTACCTTTTGCCGTCCTATGACACTTCCCCTCCCTCATTGGAGCGGCTCTGGATAAATATACCTATTGATTATGCTAGTAAACTAGGAACTTTTAAGTGTTATAGTTATTTTCGTTATGGTTWTCGCATTTATCAGAATAATGCAAATCGAAAAATGATATCATTATTACAATTTATAATAAATTGTAGGTATTGTATGTAAATTGAGTYCGACACATACATATATTGTTTAGAAAGGTTAATGGGTTAATCAAATTTTCAAGATCTAAATTTATAGGTTTTGGCGCTGAATCGTGTCACGTATTATTGTTCACACGGAATAAATACATTTTAATTATAATTTATCATATTAATAGATAATTTTAAATGTATAATACATATAATATATGCAATAAAGCTCCTTATTCATTGTTTATAGTCAAACGAAAATTCACATAACGCACGATAAAATGTCACCGTTAATATATAATATTGTAACACTAAATACTAATTGGTAAGTAGGTTTATAGGTGCTTACTATTCTACATGAAACGGAGTGCCCTATAACCTTAATGGAAAATAAAACCTCGGAAATGATTCAACTTTCAAAATAAAATTCTGGAATTAATTTGCTGTGGAAACGGAATTCATTAAAACGGAAAATATAGTTTTACAGAAAATTATGAAGTTTAGCATAAGTATTATGGTACCTATTTATTTCTCAGACTCATCCGGACGCTATGCAGAATTCAATAGCGGTGACGGTTGCGGCACTCGCAGTCTTGCTGCAGCACGGGGTCACCGGCCTCGACAACGGGTTGGCTTTGACACCACCGATGGGATGGCTCGCATGGCAGAGATATAGATGCATCACGGACTGCGAAACGTATCCAGACGAATGTGTCAGGTAAGTGAATATTGTGAATAATGAAAAACAAGAAAACTCGACAAAATACGTAAGAAAATAAATACAAAAATACAAAAATTAGCAAATTATTAAGTTAGAAATTCATAAAAATTGTCGTTTTTATATTTAAGATTTGAAAATTGAATACAAAATCCCTCATAAGTTTGCCTATACTTTACTTTTCAAAGAAATAATGTCTACCGGAAAATTAAATTAAGACTTTATTAGTGTTTGAAGTTGTTTTTACAACATTGAATATTTTTTCGATTTCTTATGTTCTTATTTTGTTGTAATTCAAAAACGAATAACCGTAGATAATTAAAGTAAAAATAAGAAAATTAGTTAGAAATAAGTTTTTTTAAGCGACTAGTGTTCTGCCTTTAACATTAATCTGGTACCTATATCGGAATATACCATCACTACCATAAAAATGTATAATACATTAACATATTAGGAATAAAATTATGTATAAAATATAACGTATACAAGCTAACCAACTGGCTATACGAATCTAGTAATCTACGAATCACAACATTGTTATAAAAAAACCTAAAAAAAAGTTAATACAATTTTTTTAAGCTATCATAGCCCGTAGGTAGCTATAGCTAGGCTAATGCAAATACTTAGTTGATTAAGTACTAAGTGAAGCCTTTATCTTATAAANTAGGTTTTGGCGCTGAATCGTGTCACGTATTATTGTTCACACGGAATAAATACATTTTAATTATAATTTATCATATTAATAGATAATTTTAAATGTATAATACATATAATATATGCAATAAAGCTCCTTATTCATTGTTTATAGTCAAACGAAAATTCACATAACGCACGATAAAATGTCACCGTTAATATATAATATTGTAACACTAAATACTAATTGGTAAGTAGGTTTATAGGTGCTTACTATTCTACATGAAACGGAGTGCCCTATAACCTTAATGGAAAATAAAACCTCGGAAATGATTCAACTTTCAAAATAAAATTCTGGAATTAATTTGCTGTGGAAACGGAATTCATTAAAACGGAAAATATAGTTTTACAGAAAATTATGAAGTTTAGCATAAGTATTATGGTACCTATTTATTTCTCAGACTCATCCGGACGCTATGCAGAATTCAATAGCGGTGACGGTTGCGGCACTCGCAGTCTTGCTGCAGCACGGGGTCACCGGCCTCGACAACGGGTTGGCTTTGACACCACCGATGGGATGGCTCGCATGGCAGAGATATAGATGCATCACGGACTGCGAAACGTATCCAGACGAATGTGTCAGGTAAGTGAATATTGTGAATAATGAAAAACAAGAAAACTCGACAAAATACGTAAGAAAATAAATASAAAAATACAAAAATTAGCAAATTATTAAGTTAGAAATTCATAAAAATTGTCGTTTTTATATTTRAGATTTGAAAATTGAATACAAAATCCCTCATAAGTTTGCCTATACTTTACTTTTCAAAGAAATAATGTCTACCGGAAAATTAAATTAAGACTTTATTAGTGTTTGAAGTTGTTTTTACAACATTGAATATTTTTTCGATTTCTTATGTTCTTATTTTGTTGTAATTCAAAAACGAATAACCGTAGATAATTAAAGTTTTTATTTTCAATTTTATAATTTTATATGTCTTATAAACATTTTCAGTTTTTTTTTTTTTTAAATGTCAATAAAATATTATTCGTTGGGTTAAAAAGCTACAAAAATTAATTCAAGGTTCATATGATATATAGTTTAAACCGCCGTTGAAAATATTAAAAAATACATAGGCACGATTACTTTTTTTTTAGGTATTTAAAGTTCAAGTGTTGACAAAATTTATCAAATTTTCATATTGAAAATTAAAAACAAAATTGCATACAAGTAGTTATTTCTGTAACTAACAAATTTAAAAATATTTAATTGCAGTTTTATTTATAGTTTTAAGTTCTAATTTGAACGCAATTACATATTTAAACCAAGTATAACAAATTTAGTTATTTTATCATAATTTAAAAATATTATTTTTGGGTATTTGAAACTTTTAAGTAGATGTATTATTATATTACGCGTATTCTTTATAGTTTATACACACAATGACATTTTTAAATTCAATTTTTTTGACAAAAATGAATTGACAGACTGTCTTCACTCAGAATCGTTTTTCGTATGCAATAAATATATACCAATGAATTCAAATTCAATACACCCATTACAATGACTCTCTAGACACCTAATAATGTATACAACATACTACATAGCAATTATTTCACTTGAAAAATGACTTCTCAGCGCTGTACATTTTCAAAATATAAAAAATAAGAAAATTAGTTAGAAATAAGTTTTTTTAAGCGACCAGTGTTCTGCCTTTAACATTAATCTGGTATATCGGAATATACCATCACTACCATAAAAATGTATAATAATACATAAACATATTAGGAATAAAATTATGTATAAAATATAACGTATACAAGTTAACCAACTGGCTATGAATCTAGTAATCTACGAATCACAACATTGTTATAAAACACCCTAAAAAAAAAGTTAATACTATTTTTTTAAGCTATCATAGCCCGTAGGTAGCTATAGCTAGGCTAATGCAAATACTTAGTTGATTAAGTACTAAGTGAAGCCTTTATCTTATAAAGTATTATTTATTTTGTATCATAAAATATTATAATCTGATACCTATCTATATTGAGACGACATTCGTATTATAATAAAACAAGGTATACTTAATGATTTCGCGTTYTGTGTTCAATAATTAATTAGAATATTGTGTTACGTATATTTAGCGAAAAATTGTTCATGAAAGCGGCTGATTTGTTGGTCAGCGAAGGCTACGCTGACGTGGGTTACAAATATGTAATTGTGGACGATTGCTGGTTGGCCAAGAACAGATCGGCCGATGGGAAATTGGAAGCCGACAAGAAGAGGTTCCCGAGTGGTATCAAAGCACTGGCTGACTACGTAAGCTTAAATAAATAAATTTACCAATGTTATCATATTATAAATTATAATGCAACTTTATAATAGATTAGAATTTTATACCTAAACATAAACCACATCGAATATTGTTATGTTTTTAATATTATTGAAAGATATAAAACAAATACAAAATAGCAACCCTTCATTGGACCTGACTCATGGATTCGTTCATCGTTATCTCTATGTATATGTGAGTCTTATACATAAAATAAATAACTACGAAAGCATCTTACAACATAGGTACCTAATGAATTGATATTCCAAATTTTCAATTTACATTTTTGTTGTTTTTTGTGCGCCAGTGTCCAGCATAGATATTATTATAATGTCTATACATTATGTGGCAATATACTAATATCAAACTTGAAAAATGCTATAGCCTAACTGCCTAACTGTATAATATATAGGMGATCTCTTGTCGGTTTATTCAATAATATTTTGGTCTCAAAATTTAAAAATAGGTACATCGTACCCACATATAACATTATAATAATTAATAGGTATTTACTTTCTTTAAAATCATAGATAATGTTATGGGCTTCTAGTTTAATGTTGTAGGCCACAGGGGTTCTGTCTGTCAAAAACGACAAAATGTTTTGTGAATGCCATAGAATGTCAATTTCCGAGCAGATAATGGGTTTTATGTAAAGGTGTGAGTTTGTATTATGCGAGGTAATATACATAATACACAAGGCCATGTAAGAATTTTTTTACACAGGTCGCATGAAAATTTTTTTAGTAAATATCAAGAGAAAATAAATGTAATGCTTTAGAATACTTAAAAATATAATCTACTATGAATTGTAAAAAATATWACTAGTCATTTTAGGTACATCAGAATTGGCAACATGACTTTAGATATTAATTTACTCTAAAATAATTCTTATACTATTGTATCTTTTAAGATTTTTTTCTGAAATTATTAAASCATTTAAAATTTGGTTTTTATAGTTTTATAAGTATTTRTAACCTGTGTTCAATTTCCAATACCATAAGGTACCAACTGCTAAACATATAAAAGAAATACAGTATTTTTATTTAAATGGTTATATGTGTGCGTATGAAATAGAGAAGAGACAACAAATACATGTACTGCATTGGGACGCTTTAAATGAAATGATGTGATGAATCCCAGAATCTCTCGACACAGAATTTTTAAACAYTTGTCGATACCTGTTGTATGCGATGCCAATAAATTGTATAATATGTTGTATTTAGGTTAGGGACTTGTATAGCTCTAAAAAATACCCAAATATACACCAAGAAATGACCGAACATTCACTAAGATGAGCCTAAAAAAATATTGGTGCCTATATATATAATAAATAAGTGGTAAATTAAATGTTAATTTTATTATTGAATCATGAATTGAAAATTATTTAATAAATTAAATGTTTATAGGGTAATTAGCTTAAGTTTTAGTCTTCTAAATATTTACTGCGCAAATAAATATTTCCTGATTTTTTCAAACGTGAATATACAACGATTACTTGACAGTAAACYTTTTTACACCGAAAAACTTCCTTCGATATCTACAAACGACATTGAAGCTTACATAAAATAAACTAGCTGATCATTATTTGACAAGTTCTCAAGCAATCGTTCCATATCTTTAACTTCGCCGCTTAAAATTGTTGACATTTTTAATACCTACAGCATTTTAACCAGAATTTTTTTTTWAAAACGTTATGTACTTCTTTACGACTGATTTGCCTTTCGTACAGTTTGATGATGATGGTAAATAGCATATTATCGGTAGCATTAATATATTATTTATTTTCGATCGGTTGAAATATGTATAGTTTATAATTTGAAATTTAAAAAAATTGTAAAAATATAAAAAATAATCATTAATCAATATCCTGCAAAATCTATCAAATTTGCACATACAAATTTTAAAGCTGATATGTTGTGCGCTATGTTTAACAATAATTAACAAAAGTGTGTAAATGCCTAGTAGTTCCTAAGCCTAGTTCTATTATAACTACGAACGCAGATACTTTATAAATATTTAACTTGGTCTGTTAACACTAATTAATACAAAATTAACACGTATTAAGCACAAAAAAAAAGTAAAGTAGATTAATAATCTTTGTTTAATCACATTGCTACAGGTACACTCTAAAGGATTGAAATTCGGTTTGTATCAAGACTGGGGTGAGAAAACTTGCGCCGGTTATCCGGGTGTACGGGGCAACGAAGAAATAGATGCCAAACAGTTCGCAGAATGGGAAGTTGATTACGTAAAATTAGACGGATGTTATTCGGACGTCAGGGACATGGACAAGGGTGAGATTGCTTAAAAACACAACGATTGCTATTTCCTAAAGTATTATAAATATTCACAATGTCATGATTTCACAGAATAATTTTTACCGACATGAATAATTATTTTCAATATTCGGTGTTTAAATAACGAACTAACTAGCATATAACTCGTCCATAGGTTACGTCGAATTCGGGCAACTCCTAAACAAAACGGGGAGGCCTATGGTGTACTCATGTAGCTGGCCGGCGTACCAAGAAAGCAAGGGGATGCGGGTAAGTGTGATTATTGCAAATTATTTTGGTTTGTGGTTCTGAGGTGTGCGTATGGAATTAATGACTTTATTATTAAAAATATATACGTGTTATTACACTATATACGTAATACATTCATTTTATAATATTATAATATTACCCACATGATTTTCCGGCCCTTTTATGTTATCAGTGGCTTATTTTGGAAAAAACTGATACAATGAAGTTAGTTAAAAATTATAATGCGAAACCAAAATTTAGCTTTATAACCCAACGTAGAAAATTCGTTTTGAGGTGTAACCGTAGATGGGCATTAAAGATTTATTTAAAATCCTTATAGATATTTCTCACAATAACAGAAAAAGTCGAAAAAGTGGGCACTACTCTGCATAATATAGTTGTCGAGTATATCATCATTGTGATGGATGTGTTAAATCTGAAATCAATGATTCATCATTGCATATTATGAACAATAAAACGAACGGAAACGTATCATATCCTAGCATAATTTCAAGAAATTATAATATATGATCCATATTTTTCTTCTTCTATATAAAAACCGGAAAATTATACGCTTTTTATAGCCATGAAATGTTTTCGAATTTTATTTATTTTATTTATAAATTATTTTATATAACTATTAAATTTGATTATTTATGTTAGGATACTAAGAGACACAACGTCTCTCTTTAGAATATTTTTTCGTATGCAATGATTTATCAACTATCATTAAATTCAAATGTACCTAACACATCTATTACAATTACTTTCTCGTATACTACCATACAGTAAACTCAGTAAATTGATGCCCACTTATATCCACCTTTTTTCTTGTATTGAAATTTGGTCCTTGGTCTTTAAAGAAGACTAAACCAATCTCAGTGAGTGAAACTGCATCACCTGTATATAGAGACTAAATTGTCACAATTGGTCGGATAACTTTAATTATTTTGTTGGGTATTATTTTCACTTAGTTGATAATAGTGTCATCTTCCATATTTTGATTTTATTTATTTTATTTTTTATTTTTCACATCATCACGYGATAAATTTATCGTCAACAAAAATTCTCGTCAAGTGCAGATTAATTACGCTTTGATGGCTAAACACTGTAACCTGTGGCGTAATTACGGGGACATTGATGATTCGTGGAGWAGTGTAACAGACATTAGCGATTACTTCGCRTTAAAACAAGAGTTCTGGGCACAGTACGCGGGACCCGGACACTGGAACGATCCAGACATGGCAAGTGCACGCTCTGTAATAGATTATGAATTATAATATAGCGACGTCAAAATATTGTTCAAATAATAAAAAAATACTTATATATATATATGTATATCCCTATAATCATCCAACGTTCATCCAATCAAATTCCAGGTAATCCACCCAGGCGTCTAAAAAGGAACTGGTGTAGGGACCTAATCTCTCCTTAATTCACTTTCCACGGGGTGCCGTCACTGGGCAACTCCCCCCTCCTGTAAATCAATCACCATCACATTTACTTATTGTATAACTTGTAAATACAGATTGTAAATATTATGTTTTGTTAAATAAAAAAATATATATATGTAAACAGGGTGGATTCTTTTATCAAACAACACTTATTATTTAAAAAAGTATTGACTTTTTTCAAAATATTTTTTTACTTCCTTTTTACAATTAATCACCCTGTATATATATTATGCATATTATTTATTACGCACAAGTTTATACATAATCGATCCATATTATATGTTTTTTTTTGCAGCTCGTGATCGGTAACTTCGGTCTATCGTTCGATCAAAGCAAATCTCAAATGGCTATTTGGACCGTGTTGGCCGCTCCCCTATTCATGTCCAACAATTTAGCCGGCGTAACCTCGGAGTTGAAAGAAATATTACAGAACAAAGAAATCATAAAAATAAATCAAGACGTTTTAGGAATACAAGGCACTCGAGTATTTAGGGTGAGTACTCGTAATCTATTCTGAATTTAAAAATGGTCTATTGAAAGTCGAAGTTCGCTTAGGATAGTWTTTTATCGACTCATCGTCGCATTGTAATAATGATTTATCATTACATTTAAATTTAGTTCATAATTTAATTACTATGAAAATTGTTGATCTCCTCCAAAAAGTCAGTTAGCCTTCATCATAATTTAATTCACAGAATGTTGGTTTCCATTCAATTTTATTTTCGTGACATATTGGTGAACTTTAATTATTATAATTTTAGTATCCTATAATGTATTTTTCTTGTGGGCTATGGCTGTTAATATCATCATAACAATCCATTATTATTACCAATAAGTACAAGACTACAAGGGGGATGTACTCTGAAACTATTCAATATTCATTATCTACAACGGTATTCAGTCAAAATGAACCAAAAGGTTGATTTATTGGAATAAAGACGTGCTACCTATTTATTTATATTTATCATAGTAACATATATAGATTGATATTTTAAGATATGAAGCATATCCAGTCCAGTATAGAATTTACCGCTTAAATTTACCAAACATAATTTAAGTTTAAATTATATATTAACCGGTAAAAATTCTTCTTATTCTGTATATAAAAATGCACCCAACAGCTCAACACTAGTACAGTTCAACTAGGACTCAAGTGTTGGAGGGGGAGCAATAGCCTTTACCTGATATTACATTAAAAGTAACCCAGGAAGTTTCCCCTCACATATATTCATTGAAAAATAAAATAACTATACATAAAAAAAAAAAAAAACTATTGTTTATTTATTCGTAGCATTTTTCGCAATAATAAAATATACATAATACTATATCAGCTGTTTATTATAGTTCAGTAGGGGTATATAAACATTATATACAATTATGTATAATAATCATGCCATTGAACCGACATAAATCATTTCCTTCAAAATAAATACAGACATACAGATAATACCTATTTACTACATTTATCATTGAAAATAAAACATAATATCATCAGGTTTGAATGAAAATTAAAAGATTTAATTTTTTCCAAAATATAATAATTGCAGTTGAATTTTAAAAGGTTTGTTAATATTTTAGAAAACCATTGAGGCATTGAATTATTACTTGTATTTAGGGAAGACTAAGCCCTCCAGCCCCATACTTGTGTCTAAGTTTGTAAGTGACACTAAATATAATGTATCTTAATACAATTTAAATATTTTATTAAATGTGCTTCACTTAAAAAAAGTATATTAACAATTGTTTAAGGTTTAATTGGTTAATAAAATAATAAGTAAATTATTATCTAAAATAAAACGCACAGTTAATAGTTATTCCTCGTCTAACGTTTACCTTTCGTTGTGTTACTGTACTTCAGGATAAGAGTATTGACATTTGGACTCGACCAGTCGAACCGGTTCATCATGGAAATTATTCTTATGCGGTGGCGTTTGTAAGTCGTCGAGAGGATGGCGCTCCCTATGCGTACAAAATAACTTTGGAAGACTTAGGACTGAAGCATTATTTGGGTTACACTATTAAGGTAATTACTAATTATTACTGAGTAATATCATATGGAAAGTTATTTTYTTTACTTACACATTAGTATTCAGGCATACTGCGCCACATAGCCAGTTATATGTATGTACTATGATATAACAAAGGTATATTAATCAATAATCATAAACAATTTGATTGAAAGTGAAGATCTATGTAGTTATTTGAAACCGTAAATACTAACTTCGTCAGTAATATTATTTAACATATTTTTAAAACTTTTTTACTTTTTTGCATGAAGACATAAAATATGTTCATTTTCATATAATATTCTTAATTTCTTATATGTTCCAATGCGGAATATTTTTCAGAGAATTTCAATATATAAATATCGAAACATAGCGGGATATTTTTGCCCTCTTTGAAGAACATCAATATTGTTTTTCAATAACTTAAAATTATATTTCAAAAAAATGTTAATACTATGAGAAAATAAGTGTACATTTAAAATATATATAATATAAAATAATACATACCCAATTACACATATTGTAATATATATATAAATACCTATAGATTGCTAAAACAATCAAATTTATTATTTTTATAGCTGGTGTTTTATATTACATTTCTATAATTATTATAGAAATTATAGTATAATATAATAACTTCTGAATTGCTCAGTGGTGGCGTAATTTATTAATTCGGAGAGTTATGTTCCGTATTCCCCTAGGCCCTGACCAATAAAACTTTTTAAGGCAGTGGCACATCATGTTTATGTACTAATTAGTAATTGTATTCATATAACACTATTATTATAGGTATATGAATAATATAAAAATCCGATTTTCTTATTTTAGCTGTACATAACTAAATTAATACTACATCGTAATGAACCCTACAAATACCGATTTCATAAATATATGTTATAAATTATAATATTAAATTTTGGTACAAAAATAAACGAATGAGCGGTCGGATATTACTTTATCGCAGATCTAACTATATCAATAATTGTACCTGTGTAACTCATAGCTATGTGAATATTAAAATATTACCTATACACAATTATTTGTTTCCATGCGTAAATATTTTTATACTTTTACCAACTATATTGTATACATTATCTTTTATGAACTAAGATAATATTAACTGGAAATAACTTGGTTGCCCGGGTGTGGGGGGTCCGGTCCAGTTTTAGTATGGATTTTGTGTGGAAGGTAGAAATTGACGGACCACCCTGAACCTAGTGGTGTATCATTGTAATTATAATTTTGGTATAGGGATTTGTATAAATCTATTAATATTTATAATTTATATAAATAACCACGGATTAAATATTAAATACATGATTAGGACTATGGGAATTAGTCGCCAGGATAAGACAAGTTATCTAGATGACATTGTAACCTCCCAATTTCCCCTTCTATGGAATTTCCTTACACAAACTGGACCCCTAATACGAATATCGTTTCCAGCCTACATTATCTTAGTTCATTATATCAATATACTAAAATGATTGCATATTGTAGGTAAATTAATAGAAGAACTAAAAAAAAAAAGGTGTGGGGTGTAGGTCATAAATAAAACTAAAAATAACATTTTACATTTCCCGGCCCTCCCCTCAAAGACCATAGACAGACCAATTTACACTACCACCGCATGATTTTGAGTAAATTACACTTACCTATAAGGGTCTTATAGTTATAATGGCTTATTTACGAGTTATTATTTTCATATTTTAGTAATTTTATTATTCATCCATTACAGAATTTGTTTCATAAACCGACCTCAAACGTAACCATACATTTCGCCTTGCCAAAGACTACAGTTCACATACGAGTTATTCCGTCAGGTAAAATAATAAACACGAACATTAGTATAAAATAAGTATTTAGTATTAATGATAATTATTATTAATTTATTTAAATCAGGTGTTGTGTTTCTGCGATTCGATGTTATAGCGACCGAGATGTTGCTGGAAGATAATATTCATAACGGCGCATCACTCAACAAAACCATAACATTTAAATAAATCCAGTTTTATAAAAATATGATACAGGTTTATAGTATGATTTTTAAATATATATATATAACGTATCTACAAACACGAAAATGTAATAATGCTGTGTATAAACGATACAATTTATATATACACGTAAGTAAAATAAATATAAAAACACTTTTAATGGTATATATTGATCCGTGTTGTGTAAACCTACCTAAGAATCTAAGATATTGTTATAAAAAACCTCAATAATTATAACATTATGTAATTGTGTGTGTGTGTGTGAGTGATTAATTTAAAATGCACATGAAATAATTATTTAATGTAATACGATTTACAACTTACAAAATACTGTCCAACGTCAATATAAAAATGTATAGTTGTTTAATAATTTCGTTATAAATTAATAATAATTAAAAATATATTCACCCAAGCACAATCTATACATAATATAATTAAATGGCTCATTACTTTACTCTTTACTCAAATAAAGTTGTAATGAAATTACCTTATTTTTAACATAGAAAAGCATCTACAACATTTCTTAGCGATTGTAGCAACGCAACAAGAAATAACTAAAAAGGTATAATTTGAAAAATATGTACAAAAAATTAATGTATCATTAATACATATGAGTACAAAATAATATTTATTAACTATTAAAAAATATTACCATCAAATGGTTATAATAATTAATAATTTTGAAATGTTTTGAAAATTATTTGGATTTATCATTTATGAGGCAAAATCGTATATTTTAATACTTCCAAATTTGATTTTTTTTAGGTTCAACTTAAGATTTTTAAAAATGCATACATTTTATCGAAGATAACAATTTTTTTGATATAGTTACGCATCCAATTTCAAATTCTTAAAATATCGCAAGTTGAAAGTTCTACAACGCTTAGAAGTTAATAGAACGGTACTGCCTAATTCTCCATTTATATATTGCACTGAATACATACACCGAATGCTATTACCAGYGGCGTGCGCAGGGGGGGGATGATGGRGGATATATCCCCCCATGGGCTTTTATTTAGTAGTTTATTTATTTAGTCTTCTAACGAGTGGATTTCGGATCTCTAGTTCATCAACATAAACATAATACATTTTTATTTATGACATCCCCCCCATACCAAATTCCTGCGCACGCCACTGGCTATTACYTAAAAAGTGACTATTTAGGAGTTAAGATCACTGGGTTGATAAAAAAATCACCCTGTATTGTACAATAATGTATTACGACGATCAATCATGTTATTCAAATAATTTCAATTTCCAATTAGCATTTGTCAAATATCAAAGGGCGTCTGTGTCTTGTCCGCACTGCGCACATAGAGTTTAATAGCCGAAACCCAAAGGATATTATTAAAATACAATATTTATTTTATTTTATTTTTTTTTTTTTGTAAGGAGAACCCGCGGCAACATAGGYCATTGGGTGTGGGGAGGTACGGTAGGGATTATTTTTGTATGTTTGTTTGTAGGTTTTTAATTGGGTAGGGTTGTAACACGTGTTTGTGTAAGTGTGGCAAGGATATGTTGCTAAAAATCCCGGGTGGTCACCCATCCGGGAGCTAGCAACTGCGGCCGGTATACGTACGCTCAGTGCGTTTCCGCAGATTGAGCGTACGACCGCGCCTCACCAAGCCACATTAATTTTATTATTATGAGTCCACAGACATAAAATTCTCGGGTTATTAACTTTCGTAAGTATTTTTTTCTTAATCCATTGAGGTAGGGAAGTATACATAATGCATAAAATAAAAATATAAATTTATTTTTATAATCATTTGTCACACATACATATAATATACAGTCATGGTAATAGTATCAGAAAATCACACTTACTCGGTAAATTAAGTCCTGGGAAAAAACAGGTAGTAGGTAAATTGGATCCCGGAGAAAAAAGATTGTAGGTCCCGACTACTAATTAAAAAAAAATCAATTTCATTATTAGGTATTATTATATTTATATATATTATTATTTACCTATTTAATTTGTACAAATAATAAGTCTCATTAGGTATATTATTAAATAGGTACTTCAATTATATTGATAAAAAATATTACAAAATAAATACAAATTAATTCAAAAAATTAAAATTAATTTAATTTTTATAATACTGTGAATGATGAATAAATACGACAGTAATATTATAATCTGATTCGAGTTTATGAAATCAATAATATAAATGAAGTTTTTACTGAGTACTATGAGAACATAATATGATTGATATATATAATAATAATAATAATTTTTTTTTWAAATTATTATTCGGGACATACAATCTTTTTTTGTGGTACCCAACTTTCCTACTACCTGTATTTTTCTAGACTCAATTTACAATACTCCTATACCTCAAAATTTAAATATCACTCGGGCGGTATGCTATTATAGTGTAATACTTTACATAATAAAGAAGGTATTTTTTGTTTTATTACCTAAGACGACAAACAATAATAAAAAAAAGTATATGATACTATAGTAACTACATTAATACAGGTTGGTATATAGTTATGATTTGTAATGCTGCTACAGCTGGCAGTTGTTCATTTTTCACAGTTTTACGATTCTCGCCATAGGTCGAATAATAGTAACTAATAAGGTTTATCTTTAATCTGTGTGCTATGGCGCAATTAAGACTTCAAATTTTCAATACAGCGGTTTCGAAACATTTTACAGATGATTTGTTATGTATGTGCACGCGCGCAAGCGACCAGTTTTACTTTTACACAACGTTGATAGGTAGGTACATACCACATTACTACATAGTGTCTCCTAATCTATAGGCGACAGCGTGTTGAAAAAAACCGGTTGAATCTGGTGGGTGGCTCTCGGGTAGTGTGTTACTACAATAACGAGTATTGTACACACAACACTGTGCTGATCCAGCGGCCGACCACTCGTCGATATAAATAATTGTACAACAATATAGTATTACACTGAAATTCACAATCGTCGTAAGTACTCAAAACGAGTCGGACGTCTATATAGCATAATATAATATTCGGTATAAGACGCGCATTGCAGCTGTACATTTTTGGTGCAAGTCGAGGTGCAACCCGACGGTTTGACCAGAGAACGTGAATAGGTAAGTTAACTATTATTAACACAAAATATAGAGAAAAAAAAAGAGAAAAACGTCTTCCCTGAATTATATTATAATAAACGTGTTTAAGGTGAAAAAGCTTCTGTCGGAATGATCACCACAGTGATACGATGGGCTTGCTGCAGTTTGATCATCGTGGTGATGATATTAGGCATCGACGGGCTCGACAATGGACTCGCTCTCACACCACCGATGGGTTGGCTCGCGTGGCAGCGATACAGATGCATCACGGATTGCGAAGCATACCCCGATGATTGTGTCAAGTCAGTATCAAATTAGTAAAAATCGTAGGGTGATGAATGGGGCCAATGGGGGTAAACTGTTTAAGATGTCTAATTAATTTGTCAAGTAAATTTTGGAGCTTCTTTAAAGAAAATTTAGAACTTATAATATAAGTATAAGTATATACAATATATTATGTATTTTAACATAGTTTTGAAAAACACGTGATATTTTCATAATGGTTATTTTTAAGCTCTATTAATAACAATCCATATTTTTGTAGCATAATATTGTACAGAATACTTTTCAAATTAACATATATTCTAGGTACTTTAATTTACATTTTTTTAAATGTTTGAATTGTAGTATTGAAAAAAAATCAAATCCCCATTTTAAAAAACAGTTTAAATAAAACTTGCATTTGACTAGATACTTTTTATTAGATATATTTCATTTTTTACTAAAAATTGTTGAACAATATATTTTTCAGCGAACAATTGTTCATGAGAGCAGCGGATTTATTGGTTAGTGAAGGCTACTCTAAATTGGGTTATAATTATGTTATTGTGGACGACTGTTGGTTAGCCAAGAACAGATCAGCAGATGGAAAATTAGAAGCCGACAAAATAAGGTTCCCAAGCGGTATTAAAGCATTATCAGACTATGTGAGTAACACAGTATTAGGTAAAATACTACATGCAAAATAGGATATTTGACATCCAGTAGTAGGACATTTTATTATAGGTTTCGAATAGGTCTGATTTTCATGCTAAAAAGAACCATTTTCATTCCAACACTATGAATAGTGGTCAATGAAATTACTCTATAAGGAGTTTGAAAACAAGTTAGGATTCTAGACTTTAAACAAATGTTTTTAAATGATAAACATTGTTTATAGGGATTTAAAATAAATATGTTAAATTTTAATGTTTTCAATATAAAAATTCATAAAATGTTTAATTTAAATATACCATAGTTTTGAAAATATAACAAGATTTCTCAAATTGATCTCACTGGAATTTAAAAAAAAAAGGAATGAAATTTCATAAAATGAATTTCATTATGTATTGTTGGTAAGAATTAACGAATATATGTAATTGACAATAAATTATCCACTATCCCTAAAAACTGGTGGGTTGCATGATTCAATTAATAATACTACTGCTAAGTATTCAAGTATTTTTAAACATTCTAATTTTATCTGTATTTAAATTAAATGAGTATACTACTAGGTTTGAATATKATTAACCATCATATCCAATCCTTAGCTAAGAACATTTTTGACGCTTTTTATTGGATTTTTTATATATCACCCTTTTCGCAATATGAACATTTTTTAAATATTTTATATATCTACTTCATAACTTGTATAGAATTTAAAATATTATAAGAAAATCAACGTATAAACATAGGTAATTTTTTAAAGTTTGATAATAGGTCATTGGTACTGCTGAATGCAAATTTGGCAGCATGTTGAGTGTGGTTACATGGGTCAGCAAAAACAAAACAAATAATATGTTGACATTCTCCATTCTCTTAATAATTAATATAACTGTCAATAGGTACATTCTAAAGGTCTTAAGTTTGGATTATATGAAGACTGGGGTACTAAAACATGCGCAGGTTATCCTGGAGTATTGGGGCATGAAGAGTTAGATGCTAAAACATTTGCAGAATGGGATGTTGACTATGTCAAACTAGATGGATGTTATTCAAATGTTAGACACATGGACAAAGGTGATGAAGCATTTATATAAAATTAAGTTTTAAATTAAAAAATTATTCATTTAGGCTATCCTGAATTCGGGAGGCATTTAAATAACACTGGAAGACCAATGGTGTATTCTTGTAGTTGGCCAGCTTATCAAGAAGAAAAGGGAATGTTAGTAAGTATTTTGATGTGTACATAATATTTTACATAGTTGAGTAAATTATAAATTTTATTAACAGATTGACTACGCATCAATGGCCAAACATTGTAATCTTTGGCGTAACTACGATGATATTGATGACTCATGGGAAAGTATGATCAAAATCGCAGATTATTTTGCACAAAAACAAGAATTTTGGGCAAAATATGCTGGACCTGGACATTGGAATGATCCAGACATGGTAGTTTAATTTTTAAAAACTTTTGTATTATATATTTATATAAAACTTGAATTTTTAGCTTTTAATTGGTAACTTTGGATTAACATACGATCAAAGTAAAACACAAATGGCTATCTGGGCAATACTGGCTGCTCCATTGCTGATGTCAAACAAATTAACAGATGTACAACCAAAATTTAAGGAAATTTTACAAAACAAAGAAGTTATTGAAGTCAATCAAGACAAACTTGGAATACAAGGCACTAGAGTGTTTAGGGTATGTTTGATTTTAAATTAAATTTACAACATAAAATACCATTATTTATTATTATAACTAGAATTATGGTAGTTAAATGAATAAAAATAAATATTTTTTATTAGGACAAGGGTATTGATATTTGGACTAGACCAGTTGAACCTTTCAACAATGGATACCATTCGTATGCAGTTGCATTTGTAAGCCGCCGCGTTGACGGTGCTCCTTATCCCTACAATATAACATTAGAAGATTTAGGTCTAAAAAATCCTAATGGATATTCAATTATTGTGAGTTACAATATATTTTTATTAATTTATTCAATAAAACATATTTATGTTAATTATCAACAGTTAAATAATATGATTGTATTGTATGATTCTTAGAACCTTTTTGGAAAAGAAAAAAGTCCAACCACTGGTATTTATTGTCCAAAAACAACAGTTAAAGTTAGAGTTATTCCTTCAGGTAAATGTATTAAGGTTTTATATTTATAATACACAATTAACTGTATTAATTTTATGAAAATCTTCACAGGAGTGGTTTTTTTGCGAATGAACATAGAAAATTCAAATTTACCATGTACTAATAACAGCAAAAGTCAATTCTTCAAGTAATAATCAAGAATACCCACAGGAAATGGAAACAACTAATAAGTTTTAGATTGTAAAGTTTATATTTTTTAAATATTATTCATTAAATAACTTTGTGATCAACAAAAAAGATGCTTTAGATTTTGCTCAATAATATTTATGTCAACAAAACAAATTACAAATCCTTAAGATACATTATAAGTATAGGTTTTATTATTTATAGTGATTGTGACAATTAAAGATCTTACTTGTTTTATATTTCTAGAACACTGGAATTCTCCAATAAGTTTATCACCTATAAATTAAAATTAAAACATACATAAATACGTAGGTTCACTATTTTAAATCATCCAATATTAATTATATAAAATCATTAGGTCTAGGAAATACAGCACTAAAAACCTACAATAAAGGTTAAACCAACAATAAACCTACAAAAAATTGCCAATAATGCTACAAAAAAGCATTTAACCAGGAAAATGTAACTAAAAAAGACTTAAACATTTTTAAGTTTATCTGAAAAATATTTTTAAAATCAAAAAATAATTAATTAAACACATTTTTATATGTTCTCACCAATTAATTCTTAGAACAACTAAGTGCAATTTATAAATATTGAAAAAAATAAATTGAAAACTGTTTTATTATATTTTAGGTACCTGTCATCACAAAATCTAAGAATCTATTTTCAGAAATATTTTCCGATAAGGCGATAATATTTCACTACGAATTCACAAAATATATATAATTATACAATTAAAATAAATGAAAAAATAATAATTTAGATAAATATATAGGTAAATGTTAAATATGCGTATAATTAACAAAAACCAATTAAAAAGCTAATAAACTGACAAAAAAGTACCAATAAAGCATTTATTTACGAATATCACAAGAAAAAGCAAAAAAAGCAAAAACAAAATTGYATAWTTGAACTCTGTGATGAATGAATCGAATTTTGTTTTTGATTAGCTATGTCCTGGAGTACTATGAAAGAAAATGTATAAAGAAAAAAGTATATAAGAATTTTTTTTTTTACAATAATACATAATGTTATACTGATGTTACAAATGATATCAAGTATGGTACATATATTTAGTTTTAGATGTATCATAATTTCATGTATTATGTATCATAATTGATTTCTTGAAAAAAATTAGCAACATATTTGTTATAATACTGAGCATTAAGTTAAATATCTGAGTCCTCCGAAAATATAAAACTTTTCAACAACCAGTTTTTGTGTTAAGTGTGAGGGTAAAATTATTGGGTGTACATTAGATGCCGACTCCAGATATGCATATAATTAATTTTTAAGTAAAGTATCTTATTTTATTTTATGTTCTACAACTAATTTTAAATATAAAAGAATTAAAAGCAATTTTACTTAGAAACCAATGTATTAGTTCACAATATTGAACAAATCTCAAATTAAGAACTGAAAAATTACCTTCATTGACATCGATTGGATCTTGCAGAAGAAATACTGTCTGTTTCCAATGAGTGGGCGGACAACTTGGAGCTGTTGATAAAATCACAGTGTTGTCATTATCAAATCTTGAATCAAAGTATCCGACTATACTAGTCATTGAGCATGTTTTTGTAACATTAAGTTTAAATTCTACTTTAAAATTAGTAGAATTTGTATCACATGTATACATATCAAATGTACAAAGTTTATATTCATCGGTAACAATTCGATCAACAGGCACAATTTCAACTTGAGCTTTATTTAAGGTTTCTGTTCTTAAAGATGGCATACGAAAACCATATACATCTGACCAAAATCCCAAAATGTCTTCATATCTATCTGTAATTTGTTTAAAATAAAGTAAATTAAAGAACAATTTAAATTATGAAATAATATAAAACAAAGATCCAAGTACTCTTAAATGATTAAATTTAGTTATAATTTATTCTCACCCGTATCACTCACACCACAGATGAATAGGTTGCATTCATTTGGCAACATGATTCCATTTTTATTCAAATACTTGTCACGGGCAAATATCAAACTATCTAGCATTGATTCAAATAACAAAAAATATCCCATCCATTCAGAAACAATGGCATCAACTTTTTCTACAGGTAAAATGACATCCTCAATTCTTCCTTTGATTGAGACAATGATATCATCAAATCCGTTTTCTCTGAAATTTGAATGCAATATGTTTTCATTTATCTAGTATTATTTTTACAAGGATGTTGCAAATTCTTACCTAAAATTGTCTGTAGCATTGTATAGTATATCAGCTTCATCCACAGCAAAAACTTTAGCTGCTTGTGCTTTTGCCATAAACATAGAGAGTATTCCACTACCTGTGCCTAAATCTAATACAGTTTTACCATTAAATGAAGGTGTGTTCAGTAATATAGCAGAGCAATAACTTTCTGTTCGTACTTTATCCTAAAAACAATTAATTTATGTATTAAACAGTCATTGCTTATAATTCAACATAAATAATTTAATGTTATTTATTATAGTTTAAAAAAAAAAAAAGTGTCTTCGTAAATGTTATCATTGTATGAATTTATTCATACACTTTAACTGTTCAGGAGAAGTTTTGGATACAAAACATTTTCAAAGTATGTTTCATATTTGAAGTTCTCAAAATTGTTTTGGAGAACAACCTGAGGTTCTGAAACGTTTTTACATAATTGTGTCAATGACACCACCTTCGATTCAAACATGGAGGCATTTGCTGCTGCGTGTATAATAAGTAGATTAGGCTACTACACAAATACATAAAATAGCCAACGTAAGATTTCAAATGTGAAATCTATAGGYTATAGCTGCTTTAATAAGACAGCATACAACAAGACAGGTTTACTGTACGTCCACTACATCACACCGACTATGGGCACCCATTTACCTATGTCAAATACGTGTTGACATGGGCGTTGAATATGTTAATTTATTATTGTTGTGCCCTTTTAATAAGTAACTAATTATTTACTTTGAGCATTTCATAATGGATGTCAACAGATGAATATGAACCAAAATAACCATGATCATCTTCTAAGTTTAAAGTAGATGCTGTGTTAATGGAATCTTCTGGCCGAGCAGCCAAAACTTTTGTTAGTGTATCTTTCATTTGAAGCATTTGACTATATGCTTCTGCAAGTTCTTTTTCTTTTAATTCCAACTGAAAATTTCAAAATTAAACATTACTTCAATAAGAATAATGAAAAAGAAAAATAGAACAGTTATTGCACTCACTTGTTTTGTAACTGTTTGAATTTTATTTTGTATATGGCTAAAATGTTCAGATGATAAAGTAAACTGATTATTTTCAAAATTGACTGTATAACCAKATTCTAATTCTTTTTCATCTTCAACTACATCATCAATATCTGAATCAAAAATAAAACAATTAATAATATAACTATTTATATTTAGGTACCTATGAAATATACCTAACATAGTTAAGATAATAAATATAAGTTTAAAATCAGTTTGAAAAATTTTTACTAGAATAACTGAATAGCAAGAAAATAAAATAAAATGACTTATTAGTATGTAACCCTATACTAAATTATCATCGAATATATTACTATATAAATATCTTATTTTAGCAAAATTTAAAAAACCTGTTTGGAATGCGCAAATTTAAATGCAAGTTGCATTTTATACGGAATATTTTGGTATTCATATCGTATGCGGTACCACATAGTTAAAAATATGAATGAATACATAAATGTAGAATTACAATATATTTATTAATGTAGAATTTCAATATAATATTTAATTAAACGAAAAAAAAAATATAAAAATATGCATTAAAATATTTAGATAAATTGAATTAGTATATGTGTTAAAAATATTAGATAAAGAAAGATAAAGCTTAATAGCCGTCAAATTCCGCCTTCAGATAATGGGAATGACCAAAAAAATATTTATAGATGCGTGGCAGTAGACTGCAGATGATGTGTAGAAACATACTTAGTAGATGACAAATGTGCGGTAGACCACACACGACATGAATACCAATATTTTAAAACATTACTTTTACTTTTCAAGCACAACCGTATATTTTGTGGCAAGGGCAGTAAGTGAGCTATTTTAGTGGGAATCGTTTATAGCAGTAGAGAACTGAAATTCACCCAATACTTCCTGATGAGCAAACAGTGGTATTAGATCCAAATGATTCAATATTTCCAAGATTTTATTTTTAATGCGCGAAATATCTTCATTTAGGTGCAATAACTATGTAAGTACATCCATTTACAATTTGGATTATTACCTGGGACATTGTTTACGCATATGTTGTCACCATCTTTCAAGTCTACATCAAACCAACAACTATTTTCAGCAGGATGATTTTATTCCCTCAATACTTTTATCAGAATTACCAAAATTTTAAATCGCATTGATCGCACTTTATGTATATTATAGACTTAATATTTTTGATAGCACTACCTAGTACCTACATAATAACTTTTTATGATAAATTGAAAAAAAAATTCCTTATGTTTTCTAAMAATTAATTTTGATTGTATTCATGATATCATAATAATAAAACGCTTCGACATAGAAAAAGTTCTTCATGATTTATATTTTATTGTAACATTTTATTATTTTATTATCAGTATCGACGTATAATGCAAGAAAAGTCGTCCTCTGCTTTACGTAAAATTTTTCCATGAGTAATGTTAGGTAACCTAAAGATCACTTTTGTGGGTACTAAGTCTTCTTAACTGTTTTTTTCAAATACAATAGAACATCATCGAATTAACCCTAGGGTTGGCGGTATGTGGAATTTGTCCACTGGTATTCGATATGAGTTTACATACCGTTATTTAACGGTGTACCGGTATGTCAGTATGTATCAATAAATATTGCTCGCACGGTAAATACCGCTTGCACGATAAATACCGATCGCTCAGTATAATATACCGCTTGTACTGCAATTATTTTTTTAATTAATTTTTTTGTGATAAAACTATACAAAATAACTTTATAATATTATACAACTAATGCCTTATTTACTTTTTTAAACATTTTAAAAATAAAATATAAATCAACTTAATAATTCATACCTG